TTTTAGGACTCGTACGAAATGTGATCTGATATGGAAAATTTTGAGTTCTTTTAATAGCACAAAGAAATAAGACGTTAGAAGGGTTACAAATGTGTAACTATAAACCAATGACTCGTATGTAATTTACGGGAAAGATTTTATCAAAAGTTTGTTGAAAACTTTCAATTTCAAACCTTCTTGGTTGGAATGAATATGTTCGATTTATATGCAAATAGGTCTTTATTATATAATATATTTAAATTATCTTCATTAATTACAATACAATATATAACATGTATCTATGATATCCTCCGTAACGACTAAATATATGTACAGGTAAAATTAAATTCTGATCAATCGGGTACAGATTGATTTACGACCTTCCACTGGTATTGCACAAGCAATATCACAGCAGGTGTTAAATACACTAGGACAAGTGTCAGATCAGTTTGACATCCTGCCCGATTACGGTATCTTCCGGAGACTCTATAAGTACAAGGACTGATTTTTTTTTCGAAACATGACAATTGTGAAGAATTTTTTAAAGTGAGAACAAAGTTTCTGACCCAAACTATCGATTCACATTATGAATCTATCATGAATAGTAGATTAGTTTACGTTTTTTAACGTAAATACGATTTCCATTCATATATTAAAAAAATTGTAGTTGTCTTTTGCAAAGATAACACATGTATTCATCTTGTTCATTGGTCACATTAAAATAGATTTTTCTTTAATGAACAATGACAACATTTGATATTTATATCGTAAGTAACTTTATTATCAAAAACACCGTTTTATATCGACCGAAAAGGGAAATAAGATAGTTTTTTTAATCTGACTGTAAACATTGTATATATCACAACGATCTATTAATAACCGTCGCTCACGCATAACGGATTCTATAATCATCTATGTACAACGATCTATTAATAACCGTCGCTCACGCATCACTGGTTCTATCACTGACTCAATACACACCCGTTTTATCGGACAAACGGCTAATTCCCGCCGACACGGAAAATCTCCGGATAACATGCATAATATTCTGTAATACAGCAAATTTACGATGAACCTCTAATTATTATCCGTTTCGCGGAGATTAGCCAAAAATCGCGGGCATTTTCCAAATAGGTCTACCAGTGAACACTAAAACTGACTTCCAAAGATCTACCACTAACACCAAAACTGACTTCCAAAGATCTACCACTAACACCAAAATTTGTTTGATTGGTTTCTAAAATTAAATCTATACAAGTGGTATTTCAAATATTGGACTAAACAATGGGACTGTGGTTAGTAGAGCAGAAATGTACAATTGGCCTCCCTGTTGATTATCTGAAGCTCACTCAGAAATTAATCATTTTCTCTTTAGTGTATTAAAAAACAAATGTTTCACCTCCTAATTTTTGTCATAAGGAAACAATTGCAAGTGAATTTACATTATATTTGGACTCTGGGAGAATGGTGAGGCTTTGAGGAATGCTGTTTGGGAAGAGATAAATCATAAAAGGAAGTGCATTTGAATTGATCTGATGCTGTAAGCATGCTGTTCAGTGTAGTATGTCAATAATTTCATTCATAAACATTCACTTATCAAGGAAGTTATGATTTTATCAATGAAGTTTTATTTACACTTTGTACAAAAAAGATAACATAATGTTGACAATCCTTTGAATATTCAAAAGGATAAACACACATAGGATAGTAGCAATTGACATCTTTACATGAATCATTATCAATGACAAATATACTTTTTTATTAAACTCAATTTCATTTTTTATTGAAATCTTTACAGTATAAACCACATGTGTGTTAACCAATATTTCTAGCAATAGGTCAGTTCATTTCTGTTATTGCCGAAATAAAACTGTCTAATGACTTATATCTATACAACGATGTATCTTTACCCGACTTCTATCTCAGCATTTTAGGCATTCAACACCTGAATTTTTTATGAAATTAAAATTGAACAAACCGTAACCACCTGCAAGAAATTAGTTGACATACCTGTGTGACATAAGGTTATATATACATTGTAATTATAAAGGACTTATGATGCAGATTTTCTACCACTAAAGTGTGTACAGACTTTCTTGAAACAGGTCAAATCTGTTTGTAGCTAATTTATTAATTCATCTTAAACAACTTTTTTTGTAACAGATATCATTTTTGCATCTGTTTTTAAATACCTTTGCACATGTTTACTAAAAAACAGAATTGACCAGTCAAAAAATATATGTACATGTACGCATAGAAATGGATGGATTGCAATAACATAAATGTAAGACTCAAAAATATGTCTCAGTGTCTGTTATAACACACACACACATGTGTATGCTTCCACAATTATGCCTGATCCATTGTACATATGTAATGTACAAACAGATGGTCCACTAGCCCACTAAGACATTCAGTAATGTCAGAAAGTCAATTGACATTGCAATTGAAGTCTTACAAAATAAATCAGTTTCATCTCTCATAATAGACATCAAACCAATCCTTCCTTGTCCAATATAATAAAATGTAATATTAAACAACAAATATTTATTGATATGTAAATCATAAAAGATATGTGACAAAATAAACAAAATACACAATAAACATAGAAAAACCGAACTCAAGACAACAATGGAAACATTTCCCTAAAAAGTATCAAGTAACAGTCACTAAACTCATTTAGTCTCTAGTTTTTATAGATCCTTTATACCATTACATGTACATGTATGACATTTTTTAGTTAAACCTATCATGACAGTCTGGTGCACAAAAACCACTTCTCTAGATCTAATATAAAGCCCCTCTCACAATTAAAGGGCAGTTTTAACTAAACAAAGGAGTAGGCCCAGTAAGACCCCTTTTTGGCCCCAAAATATAGCAGTTTTACAAAATTGTTAAAATGTAAATTTTTAGCTATTTATTGGAAAGAAGAATACTTCTGTTACATAAATATGGGCTGTTTTTGACAATACAATGCACATGTAACGGGTACTAGCATCATTTAGTCATACTAAATTACTGAAATCTTCGAAATTTTAGCATTTTGGTTAATTTTTAGACGGTTTCCGTCTGAAATGGAAGTGGCCGCATTTGTGTTCATTCTTAATATTTAAATGTAAGTTGTATTTGATGATAATACATAACATATATAAAGGTTGAGAATGAACACGGATGCGGCCACTTTCATTTTTGACAAAAACTATCTGAAAAGTGACATATTATGGCATATTTGATAGATTTTTCATATTTAAGCTTGAATTTGAGCGCCTTTAATGACTAAATCAGTTCAAATCTTTCACATAAACTGATTGAATCGACTGAAGTAGACACTTAAGTGTTTAAAAAGTGTCCAAAATCTTTCATCAGATGAACTTGAATTTTGAGGCCGAAATCGGCCCTTACTGAACCTACTCCTTTAAAAGATTGATAATTTCTTTAAAAATTAATAAACTTTCTCAGTTTCTGCAGAAGTCATTACTTATTAATAGATTAATTTATATATATATTTCCTCTACTTTCTGGATGTCTGATTTTCCAACATTGATACAAATATACATGTATATGAACTTTTCGTAGCAAATAAGAAAAAAAACATGTTCGTATTAGATCTCCCAAAAATCACAATTTACAGTAGACCCAAGGAGATTCACTAAAAATCCCTTTTTGCAGTTTTCATTGATTCACCCTGATGATCCCTGTCATATAATGTCAAAGGTCAAATCTGTCTGGTAGTAAATCAGTGTTTTCATCTGCGGTAACCAACAATCACTTTGTTTCACAGTAAATCACTATTCACCAACAGAATGGTTTGTACCTGAATGTTTGTAAGTTTTTAGTTTTTAACAGAAAACAAAAACTTCCCATTGATAACATTTTAATAGTACCAATTTATCCAATTTTTTTTTACAACTTCCGCAAATCAAACCTACCAGAAATGTAATAAGTCAGAGACCATGACGAGGTAACCAAATCATGACGAGGTAACCAAATCATGACATGTACATGTACTCTCTTTGGGATAGAATTTTAACTGTGTCCTAATCAGTGTTCCTGCACTTAGGGACGACAAATAATACACATTTCTGCGAATTGGATGTAAAAAAATCAAAATTGGAATTAACTGATGTACTTGGATGCTGCAGGCAATGTGAAAAGATACATATAACATGTTCTTGAGTCTTACATTAATGTACACATGACTTACTGATTCACTACTTTCTCCTTGGAAAATATCTTTCTGCATAGATAAGACACAAAAAAATGACACATATTTTGTTTTACAAAGACTGCACAATGTTCTTGTCACAATTTCATTTACAATGAAAGTCTTACTTGTATTGCTATACTAGTAAATTTTGAATTCAAATTTAAGCCAGGATTACAAATCTGACCTAAAAACCATAAAATTATAGTCTGCGGCATGCTATGTAAATTCAAGCACTGATTCTGTGTTCTTGAGCCTCTTAAAAATAAACATGGGTATTTTTTTTTATGGGAAAGAGAACAGTATTGTTGGATTTTCCAATATCTGAATGATCCAATTGTCATTCAAAGATTTAATAAATTAGAATATCAATGATTCAACCCAGCATTTCATATTGCCCAGTATTCCCAAAATGCCTGGCAGTTAATCATAAAACCTTGGATTTTGCCAACCCTGTCAAATATATGGCAGGGTCATAAATCAAGAGGGTTAGTTCACCATAAATCACCAACAACCACCCTGTTTCACAGTGAATTGCTCAACACCAGCTTTAGTGATTTTGCACTGTATATATATTCTGCTTTCTTTTATACAGAATGTTTGATTTCATAAAGAAATGAGACTTTTTATAATTAGCCCATGGCCCATCCCAATCTTTATGATAATTTTTTTGTTAAACAGTAAAATATGGATTAAAAGCTTCCTTTTAATAGCCTTATGGAGGAATAACACCCCCCCCCCCCCCCCCCCCAAAAAAAAGTATATCTCAACTGTAAACTGAAACTGAATGCGATTTTATAGAGGGTACTGCCCTTACCTGATCATTTTGATGAACTATAAGACTGGGACCTTTTTCTCCTAATAATGCTCTCAATGGTTTAGTTGTTGTCTGTTTATTCATGGAAGCCTCATTAACCTGTTTTGCTTCTGTTTTCATTGCATCTGTAGGTGCAACATAATATCGTTTTCTCTCATATTTATGTATCATGAAATCTTTTACTTTTTGTTCATCTCTTGAGTCTGGTTCTGCTCCTGATCTGTTGTCATAAAGTCCTAAATATACTTTTCTACAAAACTGCAAAAAAATATTTTTTTCTTCAATTCAGTACAAATTTATGAGCTGGAGTAAATCTGCACATGGCCTCCACAATGGCTAAAAGTAGAGGATATCTTGAAAAATGTAAATATTTTAATTGGGTTAATCTGTGTCTGTAGTTGCTATCCTTTCATTTATTAACTTAAATGTTGTGAAGTTTGACAAAACTGAAAACTTGACAATGTAAAACTAATTCTTATTGATTCATTTCTGAGAGAGACATCAATTTCATTATTTCTACAGACTGTTTTTTTTCTTCTACTTTTTTTATGTCTGTACTTTGAGCAGGATTTGGTCACGATTTGTAATGGAGTGTGCATTGTTTTTGTTATTTTGATGATCTTTGATCATTATAGTTTCTGTTTAATTTATTCACTTTTTCTACTCAAGGCTATTTGAAATTTGATGTATTGCATACACCTGTCAGTTTTTGAAGACTTTCCATGTATGTTGACCTTTAAAAGTCTTTTGGTTATTTGTGTCGTTGGTTTGCTGTCTTATTGACATATACCCAAACATTCCTGTTATCTATATGGTCTATTTCACAAGCCTTATATTCATTATTGTACAACATGTACATGGACAAGATCTAGAATTACATGACTTCTGTAACACATCTGAATTTTATTATTAGTGGGAAAAGCTTCTAAATGACTGAACAATTAGTTACATCTTGATTTTTGTGTCAAGAATATGAAACTTGACATATATGAAGAAGAATTGAAAACAGATTTGGATTCTTGGGTATCTATTATGATCTAATTATGAACTTAGCATAAAGATTCTTATTTTACCTCAATTTGGGTCCTCACAAATGTGTTTTGAGATTTTCAAAATTATTGCGATTTGCTTTTTTTGTTTTTTTCGTTTTAAGCACAAAATACTGTGTAATTAGAAAATATTGGGGAGAGCATTGAGGAACAGTTAAGTGTTACACCTTAAAATTAACTATATAACACCAACTCGATAAGAACATACAAAAAATAATTCAAGTTTTTGAAATTTCAAAGAGAGCTAACTTCTGGTCCCAACATACTGTGCACTCATAAATATTCTAGGGGTACCAGATTTCGTGGACTTCCTTGATATTTGTGAACCAGGAATTTAAATATTTAAAGGAATAGAAATTTTCTTTAGGCTTGTACATGTATGCAGATTTTGTCAAACCAGGAATTCAAATATCCAAAAATTGGAACAAGAATCCACAGTACATCCTCAAATACACCTTATCGCTATTAATCCGCCATTACTGGACATCACAAAGGTTCCGGTAAAATTTTGACGTTACAAAAAAAAATATCTGATGCCACAATGGAAAAGTGATTGTTGTATGACGTCAAAAGTTCAAGAGGTGCAGATTCTTGGGTCAAGCAGCCCAGATTTCCAAATAGCGATAAGGTCTATGCATGTAGACCCATTTTATATTTATTCATAATGAAAGTCAAAACTAACACCAAGTCACAAAATGAATGGACCTGTCCAATAAATGAATACAAACCTCATTTCCATGACATATTAAAAAATCCATTTCATCTGGTGTAAAACTGGCCATTGATATGGATTTAACTCTGTGTGGAGGATTTAAACCTCTCCTGAAAATATAAATGAAGGACACTGTATTAAGGAGTAATACCACCATTGTTTTTCCCCTATTGGTCTTTGTTAAATTGTCACTTTTCAAAAATTTGTGCAGAATTTATCTTTGTTTCAAATAAAGAAATACTTGGTATGAGTAAAGTTTTATCCTGCCTAGTTATACAGACAAAATTTCACACAACATTTCATTGCATATAAGAAAATAACCATCACTGGAAGTTAACCAATCAAATTTCACCCCTTTTTTCCTGTTTACATGCTTTAGTAACCATGTAACCTCAAGTTTCCAAAATATTTAACAGAAACAATGAAAAAAAGAATGGTGCTTTGAAACGCCCAAGATATATGTTTATGACTCAGAAATTTTTTACTGCAATGAAAAGTATGATTAATTTCATACAACTGTCAAATTCAAGGGAATATTTTTTTTCAAACTCTTTTCGTTTGAAACCGGATGTGATGTACAATGATTTGGTGGTATAAAGAAGACTTTTTTGTTGAATAAACTGAATGATATTTTTTTCATTTGTAATGCTGCTTATTTCAAGCATTTCTGTCAAGTTTTGTCATAATCAGTTCAATAGTTTGAGAGAAATCTAGTACATGTATAATATAAGACGACAGATATTGTAGAAACATGTCCCGCCCGATTTATAAAAGCGATTTGAGCAAAATTTCTCCGAAAAAGCCAAATCATGATAGAATATAGTGTGGACCAATATTATATGATCAAATATTCATCTCATCTGCCTACAAACAGTGGAATATGATACAAAAGACTACTCTAAGAAAAATACCACTAATGGACCTCTTTGTCTTTATTATTAGGTCCCTTCTGATCCACTTATAACGCTCATTTCCTCAAAATTTCAACTTTTAAGGCCAATAAATCAAAATTTTAGGGTAAAAATCACACATTTTTGCAAGAAATGTGATAATAAATGAGTAATTGAAGTGTTCAAGCTGAATGAACTATCCATATAAAAGTTTACTGACTCTATGGAGGTTTCAATAAGTCCTTGCTTAAAACTTAAGTTTACGCCACGTTCCAGAGAGTAACATAAAATGCTTCCCTTTTAATGAATAATTTGTTGTCACGGCATCAAAAATAATTTCATTTACTTATATTGATATAACTGAATATTTCTGAAAGTGTTAATTAGGAAAAGACTGGAATATGGTTATTAATTGTGATAAAACTAAATAATTTTAAGACAGCACTACAGTCTGATGTCACAACAGGGAGCAGGTTAATAATTAAATTATGTAAATAAAAGCACATGGTAAATACTTTATATATGAGACCATATGGGAGGAGCTAATCATTCAATCATCTGTTGATACCAAGTGTCCAGCTGCTAATCTCTGACCACAAGAAAAATAATGTGGTCTTATCTTACATGTCCAGAGCTCCAGATAAGAATTTACTAATTTGGTTTTTACTCCTCATTTTTTATGTAATTGAGTGAAATAGTTTTTTCTTTTGCATCATCAGTTCAAGTTCACCCTCAGGCAAAGATTGAATTGGGTTTTTCACTCCAATATTCCTGAATGTATTGGGGTTTTTTCATCATGGTTTTAAAATTGAGACATTTACTCTGTTTGGGTAAAATTGATTCATTGTCATGTGTATATGATGCATCAATATTATAGTTCTGTGAATGTGTTAAAACAATTTAACATCCATTCATGGACAGTTTTATTTTTACCCAATTTAGTGACATAAACCAAAATATTGTCCATGTAAGCAGCAAAACAGTTACTATAAATATATGATCATGATGATGGATGGTTATTTAATGTCCAGTGTTATTGCACACAGAGTTATTGCTTTCTCCACAAGTGAATTAATAATATGGGTGACATTTCTCTTTTCCTCAGAATATGTGTCAGTTTTGAGATAGTTTAATAAACTAAGTCTTTGGCACAAGAGGTGCTTTTTCTACCTCTTCTATTCCATGTTATAAAAAGAAAATTTTATGAACTGGTGCCAATAGTTTATCGGGATACAAATTTTATCAAGGAACAAACGATTTAAAGATTCCGACAAGGACCCAGTTCTGCCATTTGTATTTTCTCAACCCTTATCGCTTCACTTACATTTACGTTAATGTAAGTGAGCGAGAATGCCCGAGTAGTTACGATTGCTTTTTGATTGGTGCTCTATTTTAAGAACGAAAGTAGAATTCTTTAAATTACAAAAATAGATTTATAAATGACGCAAAAATAATTCATTATTTAGGGTAAATAACACACTTGACAGCGACTAATAGCATTGGGAATGCATAGTTTTAAAAATAATTGGGTTCTCCTTTGAATGAATTGGGTTTTAAACGCTGAGAAGGACAATTGAATTGGATTTTCTATTGTTTTAATTGCGTATTGACGCAAATACGCAGCTTATCTGGAGCTCCGCATGTCTTATTATATTGCAATCAAACTTAATTTATATAATGATGGAAGTAAACAAAGAAAATTCAAAAGAGAAAAAAATGTAGAGGGAATATTAAAAATCTAAATTAAAGACATATAATGTGTAAGAGTAGCTTAAACAAAATTTTGAAAGCCTCTAACAAATGTTCTTACTAGGGCAAAATAATTTGTATCTGAATCTGACACCAGCAACAATCCTTATACACCTGGAGTATTGTAACTTGTACTATAAGAAGTAGCTGTTCTATTTTGTAGAGAACAGTAGGTAGGTCAAAAAATGTATGAAAATATCTTTTATTGCATCTATATATAGTTTTAAGTTTCTAGTTAATTTCACAGTACCATATATTTCTTTTTTTAAATATGAATAATAATTATTTCATAGTGAGAATTATGTTAAATATTGATTATATGCAACTGATCACTCTTCATATTCTCTTATCTTACATGTATATACTGTCTGGACAGGAGAGGAGCCTTGACCATATTTAATTACTACATTACAGATGTTGGTCAAATCTATGATGGCAAACTCCCGCCAAATGCTAAATTAGTGTTGTTAAGGGATGGACAGTGCACCAATCATGCAAAATACACAGCTTAAGTGTACAAAAGTCACAAACAGTGTGATTCTATTGATGAAATAATGGTGTCAGAACACTCCTGGGGTGTTCCCAGATGATTGTTTATATTTATGTTGCATTTATAGGGGTTCAAATTTTACAGGGAGATATTCAGTTTTGAGTTGATTTTTCAAACAATTTTTCATGGGAATTGTCATCAAAAAATTACAATAGAATCTTTATGGGTACCTCCTTTGGTTTGGCTTTGCTACATGTGATTAAAGGGAGTATTTACTACAAAACTGTGTCCCAGTTTTTGAATAATTTGTTTCTAAATGAATTTACAGGTCTCCAAAGATGAAAGGTGGTTTGTCACCCAGCAGTTAAATCAATATATATCTTCTAATTGGAGGCATATATCAAAAATCTGAGACACTGTATTGTAGCTTGTGCATGGTCACTTATAGGGATGAAAACAGATTTTTATTATTATCATGTGACCTGAATGTGCTAGTTTCAACCAAGTTGGGAGAGCACTTTTATATCCATAGATTAAGAAAGAGTAATATTTCAGCTTTAAAATGAGTTAAAGATTTTAAAAATCCATTGACTCTGCATTGAGTAGTTTTGGAGATATTAATCTTTAAAGACTGATGGTTGGAATCAGAAAAGTCAGACTGTAGTGCTACCTACTGTAACAATGCAGGTAGATTAAACAAATATATAAATTACCTCTTGTAACAGCCTTATAGAATGTGCTCAAAATTACACATATTTAAGGGTAACATTTAGTGCATCAGGTACAAATGTACATTTTCATATGCCAAAGAGGATTAAAGTAAAAAGGGCATGGCAGCATTATCTACATGTAAGCTGAAGACAGTGCTTAAAGAAAAACCAAATATAACTACCATTTTACCATTTATTTAATCACACAATGAGGCCAATATATATATGGACCAGAAATTTGGGGGTACACGTCCTCCAAAAAAATTTAAACTGACCCTGAAAACTTTATTTTAAAAGAAATTGACACCATCTCAGTTGAAAATGTACATTCAAAATTCTGTGTATTTGCACTTGGTGTTAAAAATAAATCATCCAACTTGGCCAGTAGAGGTGAACTACATGAACTAGGAAGTTATCCAATCATAATGTTTGTTTTTCTTAACATGGTTAAATATTGGTGTTATCTAAAAAATATTTCAGATAAATATTATCAAATTAGAAAAAATATTTATGTTGTGGTAATGAAAATGAAAGAAGGTTGTTAACTAAATTTAGAGTAAGCTCACATAACCTAAACATTAAGAAGGAAAGATATTGTAACTTGGTTATTAGTAAAAGAAAATGTAACTTATAAAATGTAAAAATTCTGTTGAACATGAAATCCATTTTTTAATTCAATGCCCATGCTTAATAACAGTACTCAAACCATATTTTGATCATTTAAAAAATAATAAGAAGAATTTTAGTAAACTTTCTGATGTAAACAAATTAATCTGGCTTTTAAGCAATGAAGTCCTTCAAGATACATACATCATTTATATAATTCATAAACTTTTAAAACAACTGTCCAAAGAAAGAGATGCACTAATGAATAATTGACTTAAGAGCTGACCCCCTTCATTATTATTATATGAATTTTTTTGTGTTCCAAGTGGAATCCATATTGCTGGGTTTTATTCACCAGTTATGTATCTTTTATGCAGTTCTTTTCTTTAATAAATGTACAAAATTTATATATGTTCAATGTTTTAATCTACTCAATCTGACATTCAAATCATGTTAAGTATTGTGCTTTGTCTTGTAGTTCTTATTACACTGTAATTATTCTGCCCTAATGTTGGCACTGTGGTTAGTGAATAAAATTATTTGTATTTGTATTGTAAACTAAATGTATGCAAAACATTCAGTGTCAATAGACCATGACTGAGGGAACAGGGCCAAATTATCTCCATGGAAATGAGCTGTGCCAATGCTTATCCTTTTATTAATTCATCTTAAGCTGGATATAAACAAGATTGTTAATTGACATACCCTTATCTTGATACGAGAAAAGCTTCAATAGCAAGGGAATGTTCACTTATTCCAAAATTTGCATATATAATATGTATATAACTGGACGATATAAAAAATATTCCACACCCTCAAAGACTTTGTAACACAAAGTTCTGATTGAGGAATTCCATTTGTATATATTTTGTAAAATAAATTACGGTTAAAGACATGTCTTTTAATTCAAAAAATCTAATACAAAGTCAAAGATTTTTCTGACAACAAAATGAAATGTATTCTAAATCCAATTACTAGCGAGCAAGTGGAACTAAGGACAAGGGGCATGCTTAAAAAAGAACTATATTTGTGGTGTTTCATTGAATTTTGTGTATCAAAACCGGGTCATGTAAGCTTTTCTATTAATATCATAATATATACGAATGGGCTATTTGTCTTTGTTTATGTATATATATATATAAAGTCGAAGATAAATATTTTGTATATGCTGCTGTCAGACTCTGTAACTTACAAGATGCCACTGCACGACGTGCAGACAAATGCACCCGTCGTCATGTTGACATAGGTTGGACCTCTTTGATGGCAGTCGAAGCACTGTTTGTTCGGAGGTAGCGCTGCCATTTCTCGTAACATTTTGAGGTGTTTCTCATCTTGCTTTCTTTTGCTTGACGCCATTTTGAAGTATGACAATTTTTTAACCGGAAGTTACTTCCGAACCAAATTACCCAAGGAGCGATAACTCCCACGTTTTTTTATTTTTTTTGCGGTTTTGCGGTTATTTTCTGGAACGCATTTTTTTTTACTTGTAAAATAGAGAGAAAATATCTCTTACTATATATGTAATCCTCTTAACATTACATAATTGTAATGAGTATCATGGAATCGTGTTACAGTGGTTCTGACACTACTTTGAGACTACTATAACACAGGAGTCAGGACTACTAATAACGTTATCAGGCTATAGTAGTCACAGAGTGGTGGAATGATCAATTTGTTTCAAAGTATTTTAGTAGTCAAAACTGGGACTATTGTACTAGTAATAATAGTCCATGTCAAAGAAAATAAAACAGTTCTTAATAATCTATCGCCGATGACTGGGAAAAATGTTTATTTAAATCGCCTAAATGTATTAAATGAGTGCATGGAATATGTAAATCTGAATACGCTTTTGGGTAATTATTTTACAAAACTGTATATATAACCCTCCTATGTATCACATGTGTTAATTAGTAGTCTCAGATTGAATGTGACAGTCATCAGTTGCATATATATTTGCTACTGATTGAATCTTTCATTGAATCTGGTAGATTTTTTAGCCATGATAAGATAAGATAAGAAAAAATTATTTTGATTCGGCATAAGTTAAATACACAACACAAGCTCTAAGCAGTTTTTGAATATAAAAACATATACATAACATAAAACAGTCTAAGATATAAAACGACCTGTAATACAAAGTTGAATCTCACACACATAGCATGCAATAAAAATTAAGCAACAGATTTAGAATGAAGTAAAACATTGTTTACCTATATAAAAGTTTAAAATTTAGAATAAAAATATGGTAACTATTTAAATAAATAGATTACTTTTATAAAAATCAAATAAAAAAGTTTAATAGAACTATAATTTATGATATATGCTTTGAGATCTAGAAATTTCAAAGAACAGAATATTTTCAACATGAATTGATCACCCAATTTCTGGAAATATGTGTCAGAAATTAAAATTTAAATATATAAAAATTCGTGAAAAAATACATCAATACTAGTCATGCCAAAGCAACAAAAAGCAACATAAATAATAAACAGCTCAAGAGTTATCTACAAGCAGAACATCGACATTCCAAACAGTTCCAGGACTGAACAAGACTTTTAAAATGTGAAAAACTATTTTCAGTCCTGAAATGGTTTGGAAGGCTGTTCCATAAAGTTGCGGCAGCAAATTTGAAAGATTTTTTACCGTAACGGGTTGACTTTACCTGTGGAACATCCAGAATATTTACATACCTGAAAGAATACTTAGATTTTTTGACACTAAACAAATTTTGTAAGCACACAGGAGCTATAGTGTTCATAATCTTGAAAATTTCTTGAGCCATTGTTCTTATCCGTCTGATCTGCAAGGAGGGCACCTTAGCTTTATGTAAGAGGTCCTCCTCGTAGGAGCTGCTAAAATCCTCGTATACAAAACGGAGTGCTCTTTCCTGCACCTTTTCTAGTTTTTTGGAATTTCTCTCAATGCAAAAATGCAATGCCAAAGGGCAAAAATTAAGATTACTAAGAATAAAAGTATGAAAAATAGTAAGTTTAATAAGTCTATCCAAAACAGCCCAAACGTTTTAAAACATTTAGTTGCTGTGAGGCTCTCCTGCAGATTGAGCTGATATGAACATCAAAATTTAACTGATAGTCAATTTCAATGCCTAATAATTTTACTGTTTTTTCACATGTAAGGTTCGAATTTTGAATATGTATAGATGGGTTTTTTTTCAAAGGTCTTTTTGCCAACAGCCAAAACTTGAAACTTGTCGGGATTTGCTTGCATTTTATTCACCCGGATATTTGTGACTCAGATTCCAAAGTTGAAATTAATAAATCAAAATCTAGAGTACAGAAAGACATAGTATTGTCATCTGCATAGTTATATAAACTACCAATTTTAACAACAACAAAAAATCATTTATAAATACGTTAAACAACAATGGCCCTAGTATAGAACCCTGTGGTACACCTTTATGGATGTCAGCCCAACCACTCAGAACATTGTTGACTTTTATTTATTGTTTACGATTAGATAAATAGGACTTTAAAAGAGCAACTGAATGGGGGGATACACCATATGCTGATAATTTATCTAGCAAGATATTGTGCGGTAGGCAGTCAAAAGCCTTAGAAAGATCCATTAATACCACTGCAATGTACTGGTTTTTATCAAGAGCTTCACGCCAATCTTCTAACACTCTGAGAAGTGTGGTCTGACATCCATGTCCACGTCTAAATGCACACAAAAAGGATTCAATATTTTATCAAAGTATTCAATTAGTTGAATTTCATATATTTTTTCAAAGATTTTAGAAAATATGGGTAAGATACTAACTGGTCTATAGTTTGTTTTTGATAATGGGCCACTCTTTTTATGAAGGGGGGTCACTTGGGCTTCTTTTAGTTTATCAGGGAAACATTTATTTTCAATTGACAAATTTGCAAGAGTTGTCAGCTGTGGTGCAATATAAGATTTACAATTTTTTTACTATTTTTGCTGGAATACCATCAGCTCCTGTAGCCTTCTTGATGTTTATTTTATTCAAGATTCTATCGACATTTTCGTTAGATACTTTCTTAAATTCAAAATCAGCAACATGCTCTCTATTACTTAAAATTTCTTTTATACTTGGATGGTTTGAGGGGTCATATACCACATCTGCTCCAATTTTGACTGCTAGTGTGGAGAAAAAATTATTAAAAACATTGAAAAAATGTATTGGAACGATATGAAAAAAATAGCGATTTAGAAATAAAGAAGAATTCGTTGATGAATTTCGTATACCTTTCAACGATAAAAAGCGAAGATGTCTGCCTGAAACTTTATTTCATTTGAAGCAGAAACGTATATAATAAAAGAAATTTCGGCAAATCCATTTAATGACCATATAATCTATTCAAATAGCTACGGCTCTCATTATTTTTTACACTACTCTTGACGTAACGTACAGACACGTCAGAGGTGTATCTAGGGGAATGTTTTTGGAGCTTTATATATGGTTTACATAAATTTGGGGCGATTTAGAAGACATATTGGGTAAAAACATGTCTATTGTTGAAAGCTGTTTTTGCACTCTAGATGTCCTTATGTTGTTTTTGTCGTTTGATTGCTGTCTTGTTTACGTATAACCCTCATCTCCCTTATTTCATACAGTTTTAATTCCGTTTGATTTACTTTTAAATCGGTTTATGACAAATAATAACTTAAAGGGTTATTGAGTATAGATTAATTGCTTTTCTATCCCTTAAGAATATCCTCAGAGGAAGATAAATCGAAGAGATATGTGCCTAAATCTATAGTGCAAGGTAAACAGAAAAAAGTTTCACTCTTCAATATTTAACTCCTTTCTCCACCATTTTTAAACTGTATTCGGCAATTTATATTTAAGACATGTTGCATCCAAACAAGGCCAGATTGATCTGCAACTTATATTTTTTTTCCTTTTTTGGCACATACTTAAATATGAAGCTCATTAAATTCGATCTCAAAATAGTTACTAAAAAGGAATGCATATTTAAAAAGTCGTAATAAATTCCATTGAGCACAAAACTAATTGAAATCAGATTTCAGTTATTTGGATATTCTGAAATATATTTATTTTTTGGAAGAAATTGTAAAAAAAACTTGAAAATAATTATCTAGCTTGACTTTGAAACACTGATTTAAGATTTATATTGTACTCTCATTTTATCGTGAAATGTTCCTATAGTTTAAGGAATGAGGAACTTTTATTATTTCATTTGAACAAACGAAGTCAGTCAAAGTTGTTGATTGATAAACGGTGTCGTCATTGCAAGATCAGTGGCGGATTAAAAAAAGGGGGGGTGTATTTGGCGTACCTCTTTGATGGGGATCGTCAAATCGCTGCACTCGGCGGTATTTCTTCACTCTAATGGAATTTTAGTAAACCAGCGGGTTTATATGTTTATGGTTCTATCTCAACAACATTAACAAGTTTATTATGTTTGTAACACGTGAAAGGCATTTAATGTCCCAAACATAAATACATGTAGGACCTCTTTTATTTAAATTCCTATCACCCTATGTTATCCTAGATATTAAAGAACACGATGTCAGAAGTCAACCCTAAAAACTTAATTCAAAAGTCAATTCGTATCATATTAAAATACTGGTTGCAGAAAAGACCAGATGCATCATACCAGACTGAGATTGAAGTGCAGCGGTAAATGCTCGGTCTTTTTTCAAAAAAGATATTAATATCCATTCCTAGTTGCAACAATCGAATATGCTGTAAAGATGAGAACTGCAAGTACTTCATGTTAGAGTGCTAACTGAAAAAAAAATATTGTGCTCAACCATTGACAAACTGCACTGATTTTTTTCTCACCATGGTCATGTTCAGTTATTTTTTCAATCTTAAATGAAATCAGTCACTATCATTGTGTACTTCGAGGTTCAATGAATATTATGCCTCGCTTATACACTGACGGCACAATTATAAACCCCTGAATATAACTCAAAACCGAAATCTTGGCAAACATTTAGTATTTCTCCAAAAGATTTCTAATGACATTCTTTTCCATATATCATTTTATTCATTTGAATAGAAATTAAGTCATTTTGGTTTAAGAAGTTCTCCGATGCAACATTTTTAAAAAGATATAAAATTTACGATTTTGTATTAAAATGGACACATCGGTAACAAGAACCACTGAATAACATTCGAATCTATAAAAAATATGCAAAATAGTTGAAAAATGATATAAGTACGTATATATGATATAGGACATATAGACACTTTAATATTCGAATTCCAGTAAGATATTTTTACCCAGTGAGTGAAACAATTGCCGGGAAAATTAAGTGGAAAAATATATTCTAAGAGTACAACATTCAAATACTGAACTTTGGATTATGATTTTGCTTATTCATGTTCGTTAACGTTCATATTTGGTT